ACAATATTCATCCGTTTAATATAAAACATTAGAATATGCGGAAATTGTGATACTATCTCCCTACATTGGATTTTCAACTAGGGATGCACTTTTTATTTCCTGTTAGCAATACACTCCTATGACCTTAAGTATTTGTTATTTGCATTCGTTGTGGTCTATAGCACCCCTTCACCTGGATTTTTACACATTGGCGAGTTACGTAAGTGCCCCGGGTGTGAAAAACTACGGTCCATGTACAGATACAAAGTGGCTATGTTTACCTGTATACCTGACCGTGTCAATACGTGTATGTGCTATTTTACATGTGTCGATTTGGGTCCCTTAAAAAACACTGAAAAAAACATTTCTAAATTAAGAAAATATAGATAGAAAGATCAGCTGATATATGTAGCTAGAATATAGAAATATATTTAAAAATCTTGTTTTTATGCTTAAACACAAGGCCGTATTTATTTCTCAATTTACACCAACCACGATTGTCATCGCACAACGTTCGTCCATCGTCCGCACAAATGTGCGCAAGCAATAATTGTCCAGATTTCAATAGTTCGCACATCGTGCATACATCGTGCACACTCCGTGCGCACATCGCGTGCACACCGCCCATCGTGTAACGTTGTGCGATCCCACAACTGTATTTAAGGCGCTTCTTAGACCACACTTAGAATATGCCTCTAGTGTATGGAGTCCATACAGGAGCAAGGATATTGATTAAGTTGGAAACAAATCTTTACTTTCCGTGTTGTTGATATATGGAGCAGTCTTCCACATGATGTCATTGATTCATCTAATGCTATACAGTTTTAAATTGGTTTAGATGAGTACTGTAAACGTGAAAATATAACTTTTAATTTTAAAAACTGTTCAATTAACACTTGAAGTATGTTATAATGTAAATTTTGTTGTATGTTCTGAAATGGATATAGAGGCTTGTAGCCATAATGTATCATATTAAATCATATCAAATTAAGTGTGCTGTCGGGATTTTGATTGATAACAAAGTGAGATAATGCTATTGAATATTCAATCAGTGTATCGTATATATGTTCATTCATGTCAGGCTATGTAATTAGCTGTTCTGTAGAAGAACACTTGACCGATAGTCATAGATGTGACATCATCTTGTCCTGTGACATACTTCTATGGTAAACAAAACAGGATTGAAATATTCTGACTTCCTTCAAATAAATTGCAAAGTACAATTTGGTAACGTCGTTTTCGTCCTGCCAGGTATAGACTGTGAGTTGTTTAACCGGTCCACACTCGCCCAGGAACGTTACTTCAGTCTGCGTCAGTGGGTATTTTGCGATGTCGGATGTAAAATGCCGATAGTATCCGAAGAGAGAAGCTTCGGATGCAGCATCGGGACAAAATCGGTACTACTCTGCAACGTTGACATGATCATTATAATCTAGGTCACTGTGACGCGTTTGGAAGGCTGTTTTGAAGGACGAGTAAGGAGGAATGAGGGCGTCTTGTTTTCTAGTCATCAATTGCGCACATTCTTGATCAACCAGTTTATTTGAGCTCTCATAATACGATTGAGGCAATTTCGCGGTTCGGCGGGTCTTCCAATCTATAGCAACACCTTTTATGTCTGACTTCAAATACCACTTTCTGCTGTCGGTGTCGGAAAATACAATTGCATTTTTGAAACTGCCTTTTGTAAAGGAAGACACAGTACAGTTCACGTGATACCTCTGTTGTGTTCCAGACCAATAAAACTTAGAATGAAATGTTGGAGAAAACACACGTTTCTCGCTGACAAGGAAGATGCGAATATTGTTTTCTTTGCACATTTCCCGGGTCGGCATAAATCCGTGGTTAGCAAAAATGGTGGCAGTTTCGAGATGCATTTTACTGACTCCCCAAATGGACAAGTGACCTGCAAGTAAGACATAGCTCTCTACCGTCAACACACCTGTGCATTTACTACCTAACAGGGAAAATAAAGTCAAAGCAGTTGCATTATATTATGGAACCTATGTCTCGTTTCCAGCTTAGTGAAATCAAAAATTCTGCATGTGAAATACTTGTCTCAGGCTGGAACCCCCTCCCCCTTCTTTATAAACAAGTTTTATAGAACTATTTAAAATTGTATAATGGAGTTAGATACATTTCTTTTCGTAGGGATCATAAAGGATTTAAACCTGACCTGACCGGAGATTTTGCCATTGTTTTTGAACATTGTAACTGAATATCACATCGTCGTCAAAATTAGATGAATTGTCTTCCCTGAATAATCTCCCTTAAAATCTTCCTCTGTTTAAATACCTGTACGATCATGGTAAGCAGAAGACGGGATGGCGATGTCATACTCGCATCTCCCGGCTGAAGCATACGTCACAGTGTAATACGTCATCACATCAATATAACCACGTCTGCAACAGAAAGAATCATGTACTTAACATTAATCTTAATTTATCCTAGCTACAATAAGTCAAAACAAACAAAAATAAAAAAATATCAACGATAAAATATATATACTACAGTATACCGCGATGTAAACAATCAATGTTGGTAGTGTAAACAAATCGTTCCACTTTCTCCCTCACTTCCGGTTTAGAGTAAAACTAATTTTGTACAGGAATATCATTTCCGAGTACACACATTCTAACAACTCGTGTGTGTCGTAACCGGTAAAATGTGTTTTATTGTGTTCAGCATTTCCATGCCTATCATTTCACTTGAATATCAAAAATCACTAGATGCACTCTTTAATGATGTTGCATCGACAACTACTGTAGTGTAGTTTATTTGTAATCAATGTTCAATGTACAGATGACCTCCAATAGTATGCATAAAAAGCATTACGTATAACGCTTTTCAATTCACTGACACTCTGTCCCACTGTTATGGCGATCCGATTAGTCGACACGACTGATTGTGTCAATGATCAAAGTAAATAGTAAAATTAGCCTGCAACCCTAAAATACAAAGTGCATTTGGTTCAAACAACACAATGTATACATATGGTTCAGGTCAACTGCTGTACCCGAGGAGAAATGGCTTTTGTCACGTACACAAACACGGTAGCATCCCGAACATCAAACAAATGTTGTAAATAGTTACCGTAGTTTAGATACGATCAATCCGGCATGGCTGTAAGAGCTACTTTTTCTTCACTTGATATCCATACAGCCTCATTAAGATGTGGCGCGTTTAACGACTGGATGCTTGACCGTTATATCTCTCCTGGTGCGAGATCTTCAGATGTTTGCTCAGGTATACCAGATGCTCGTACTTCACGCAGTCATAGTTCTCATCTGCGAGCTCGCAGTTATTCTCAGAACGTTTAGTGCATTTGAACTTAAAACTGTCTATCTGAGCTTTCAGTGGTGCCACTGTTTCGGCTACTGATATTTAATTTCAGAATTTAGCGACTGGAATTTAGGAGTACAAAATGTAGACAGCATATACAGAGTATATACAAAGTTTGACATCATATACCGTGGCCTCTTGGAATCGTTGACTTCCTCGCTGGTAGTGTCACCTTGCGTATCGCACATAACTTGAAACACAATGTTAACAATTTGGTTACAAGCAGGTTACACACATATATTTACATTTGCGGTGCAATGTCACTATGTGCACTACGTTAACTCGGTTTTGGGTCATTAGACTATGAACCGACATGAGTAGTAATACGGACGTGGTCAAAAGGTGAACAAATAATACGGAAGTCACGTTTGACTCTCGCTTGGATTTATTTGGCGGCAAGTTGTTTATAAGGCCATGAAATCATATGTAGCAGTTATATTCAACTCTGTATTTAAATTTTCGGCGGAAATAAATTGATATATATTTATTTTAAATCACAATGAACCTTGTTTTCAGTCGTGTCTCAGGCGTATGCTGTTAACTTTTTCACAACAATAACCTCATCTCGTGGTACAAATACGACTTTTTACATATAAACTTTCATGGCATACTATCAATAAATGTCCTCTAACCTATCCTGACGGTGTGGAAGCTTGCTGACGTGCTCCCGCTTGATGACAAAAATATGACAAAAAGCTCCTGCTACAACTCCAATGAAGCAAAATAATCCCTATTGAAAACAGCAAATACATGTTAAGCTAATAATGCTGATAACACCCACCCACACACACACACACACACATACACACACGCGCGCGCACGCTCTCTCTCTTTACTAGATTACTACAATCTCTGGGCTATAAAAAGCGAAGAGAATTAAAACAGTTGACATGGTGATGATCACGACTGCTAAAGTTCCTCGGCTACGCAAAGAGCTAAACATTGGTACGTGTAACCTTGCTGATAATGTAGATCGTGCCTGAAGTGTAATTGATACTGTATTGTTGCGCAAAGTAGTTAGGTCGAGAGCAAATTTAGGCAATCGAAAATATATGTACATATATTTATACATGATGTCAAATCCCACGTTTTGTATCTCATATTTATGATATGTTTATCAACAATCGGGATTCTGACTACGACGAAGGTCTTTAGTCTCGTTATGATAAATATACAATACCTGTAATATTCTGATATGCCCGGAACTTACGTGTGCGACCATGGGATCTATTCCGTGTTGAGTTCTAGCGAGGAGGATATCAAAAGGAATATGTACCAGTGTTGCTTGAGTGCCTCGTACAGTAAGGTCAAGCTCGGTCAGCCGGCTGTTAGGCCTCTCAGCACCTTATAGTGCATAATACCGATGTTTCGACGATGGACGTCAAACTACTCGTGCAACATATTTATTATAGATGTACATAAATATTAATTTCCAGTCGAAAACGCAAAAATTTACCTGAATTCAAACCTGTTTACATAACATTGTATTTTATATTCAGATATCATTATTTCATTCCAATCCACTAGAGAATCTCTGAAATTGAATGGATAAATATATACCGTGTTTCCTAAACAAAGGTTCTAGCAGACAACAAACTAAAGAAAGATGGTCAAGTATTGAGTATAATACATTTTGATTGAACATACAAGTATAACAGAAATCGTATGTATATCTGAAATCAAATTACAAATGACGTTGAAAAAAAGTTGATGAACTGTTTTACACAATTGTCTTACAGCAATAAAAACAACACTGCCAAAACTAATATCGATGACAAACCTAAGATCGAGTATTACGTAATAAAATTTCAATATGCACAGGGGACATTGACCCTGGTAGCTGTTCACTAGTCTCATTATTCATGTATTCATTCCTTTGTCGTAGCTCCATTGGTTTCGAGTTCGCATTACGGTTTTAATATCACTTCAGTATTCTCTATTTCATTACTATTATTTTGATATGACATTCTCCACTGCGCTTACAAACACATATGATATTATTTGTAGTGAATGTATACACAAATAAGTAATGTTTCAGGCATCGTATAAATAACATTGAAGATTATTGAACTAAGCTGGTAAAGGCGCAAATATGCATGTTTAAATATACATGATTTTCAGGACGTCTTCAGTTTCCTAAGCAGGATTTGAAAGCTTTGTATTTCGGTACAGGTATAAAGAAATATGATATGATACTAAACTATGATCAAAAGTTCCTAATAAGAACATAATCAATAGATACATGCATGGCATCTGATTTTTTATGAGTAGTACGATCCTTTAACAGCGCAACTCGCCCTTAGCACCACCCGTAATTACTGTTCATCAGAACTATACTCGAAGATTGCTGCTGCTGCCTCTGATGATGATAATGATGATAATGATGCCTATTGTTGACATATTGATGTTGATATTGATTATGAAACAAAGGTCCATTTAAATATCACCAATCTCTATATATATATCTTGGATACCTGGAATATATAATGTGTCATTGTTTTAAATGCTTTTAAATGCGTCGATATCTATGAATTTTTGTAAGTAACAACAGCCTCATTGCACATTTCCTTCCCACTAAAAGAGCATATCTCTTGACGTCGATATCGCTCAGCGCTTTTGCATTCAAAGTTTTGTAGAATCCGTAGGTCATAGTTTGTCCACAGAACAGTACAGGAATACTGCCTATCTCCTGTAATACGTCACTATCCTCTGTAAACCAAAATAAAAATAAGTAAACTTAAGATAGTGTATGTGATGTGCTCTATCTCATATTCTGTTCTCATGTTTTAAAGAGTTATACATTATCGAAGTTTAAAAAAATAGTTTTTTTATCAATATTTCATGGTTAAATATAGTGCCGTATATTGCTGAGACACTCCTCTTCAAATCACATTATATCAGCACGCAATAGATAACAAACAAAAACAAAATGATGATAGTGGTCGAACACAACATTTGCGAGTTCTGTCTATGGATTGTCTTAATATGTAGACATAAAGATTCTATGAGTATTAAGCAAAACCAAGACAAACAACTTATTTTCTATTTCAATATCCATTTAAACTTTTTTATCACCGAGATAATACACCTTATTCTTTTTTATTATTATTAAGAGATGCATTGCTTTATTAAAACTGTTTTAATTGTCAAGGAAACTGTCTGGTGGCTGTTTTCAAATGAAATGGCAATACGTTCTTTAAAATTCTTCCGTATGTAATTAGTGACTTAGTCTACAATGTAAGGATTGTAAATGAAGGAGTATTTTTAACACTACGTATTATAGAAAAAATGACCTTTTTTTCCCTTTCTTGTTTTGATTATTTTAAAGGGCTTATTAAACTTGATTAAAGGTTACAAATTATGTTCCATTACTTTTGTCGATGAAGAAGATTAATAGATATTTTTCCTAAATATTATTTCGGTGAAGGTAGTGAAGTGAAATAGTCAATATTCAAATGTTTAAGTAGGAAAAAGAAGAAACTTTTACATGTATAAGTAATAGTACAAACCGACTTCCTCGTCTGCTAATCTGGAATATTCACTGACGATTAATTTAGGTAGACAGTCGGCTATAGGTATCCAGGTGTACGTCTCCGGACATAACAGGAATGACGGGGAATATCTACTCTGTAAAAAGATAAACACAGCTCTCATAATTAGGTTTTCAATAATTCGGACAATATCTGTAATAAGTCATGTCAATTCTTTAAAAAGAAGTAACAGTTTGCAATAAGTCACACTTTCGCTGTAATGAATCACACATTGTAGTGATACATATGTGTAATAAGTCACAAACACTCTTAACAAATAAGTCACATTTCGTAATAAGCTACACAGTAATAAGTCATCTATGTAGGTCATGTCAACTTAAAAAAAACACGTCACAATTTGTCTGTAAGAATTCACACTTAATCTGTAACATTAGCTCAAACTATATAAGTATTATGTCATAAATACATTCCATTGAGTTGCAATAACTCTGAAATAAGTCATACTGATTATTTAATAACTCGCTTTGTAGATAAGTCACGATCTTTGTATATTACAAATAACAAATAATGATATAACGTTTGTGTTATTGATTGTTTAAAAAAAATTGAATATGTACATCATATATACAATCTAAATCATAACAACAACAAAATAGAAAGTTGTTTTTTCATTAGTGGTAAAAGAAACCAATTATCACAATAAACAAGTAATGGCCAAGTTGATCAGATGCTAATGACATTGTGACAAATTGTCATCATTCGTGATGGTAAAAGAGAAACAATATTTCAACCAAACAGATATCAACGTTTACCTTATACGTAAGTTTTGGACAGGAATGTACATAGTATCCCAAGTAGTAGTACATAAAGTCGGGGGCTTTCTTGTTGAGCTCTTGTATGAAGGCAATTTCCCTGTGAAATAAACATGTCCGCATTCAATAAACCGTTTGTGGAATATATGTTGCGTCTAACAACTTATGTACAGTGTAACTATATCCAAACAACAGCTAATGCACTTGATTACATGTAAGTACATCTCCTTACACTCTATTTATATTTAACCAGAAAATAAGAGGTAATTACATAAATTATACAGTTTGATATACATAGGAAACGTTTTACAACAAGTAATATTTTGTAAGTATCCGCAAACATGTTCATGTATTTCTGAAACCTTCAACATTCTTGAAGTCCCGAATATAGTAAAAGATGTTTATGTGTTTTAAAATTTACCTTATTCAATATGATTAGCTACAAAGTCTTTGAACCAATCACAAAAAAACATGTGACTCATAAACCAGTCATGTACTCACATATTCAAATGAATGACGTTTATCATTTACATATAACATGTTTGAAATTTAGTGTAACATCTTAACCATAAACTATCCGTGACTAGTTTCATGAATCTGAAATAGGATGGAACAAATGTAAGATATTATCACATAGTCGTTATATATATTTCATAAACATGTATTTAGAAAATCCTTTTTGGACAGCCTGACATGAAATCTAAAATATCAGATCGAAAAAAACAAAACGAAAAACGCGGGAGATGTCAAATCACAAAACACTATCGAATATCCAAAAACTTCGTAAAACTCACCTGAGGGCAGTATAGGTTCCTATCGACAAAAACCTATACTCTGGGAGGTAGTACAGGTACACGGCCGACAGACTTTGAGGAAGGATGTCCAGGACGCCTACAGCAATGATTCTACCATCTAAAATATAATGTTGGTGGAGGGATCCATACCCCATTGGTGGCCCACCATTTTTAGTCACGGTCTGAAAGGACAAGCAAGGAACATTCCTTTATAAATATTTAGGCAAGAGGCGCGATCGTTTAGTTTAACAGTTACATTTCCTGTGGAAGCGATGAGTTTTTCTTTCAATACCTCACATTTTGTTATATTTTGTTGTTGTTTAATTGCAGTTTTTTGACTAGTAAAGTCGAAACTACTTTATAATCCGACAAACAGTTCTGTAAATGATATATTTCCATCACAGTACTATTTATTGATGCTTATTTTGAGAACTACTTGAACTCCATTCCTATCCTTTCGTTATCAATACACTATAAATACATTGACATTTAGCAGTATTGAGGATGGATGCATTAAAGTAATTCACTTTTTTTCTTCTCGGCCAGTATACGATGTTCCTAAGACTTCCTGTTGTTCATTACCTGATGAATAGAGGTCATAAGGTACTAGTAACCCTTTTGTAATATATGCAAAGGAAAAACTTAATGACACATTAAACTATCAGAAAAGAGCATTGCTATGTTCACATTCTACCTTAAATAAAACACTATGAACAGAATAGTATATGCAGACGAATAGGTAGTGTGCACAATAAGTTTGAGGTGTGACTTTTCTGAAACAAATATTCAATCGAAAGATGAAAATATATATGGCGCGTGCCGGGCTAATATGCCTCGTGCTAGGCGAATATGGATTGGTCAGATATATGGCCAATACGCAGTTAGCAGTATCACTCAAACAATACAACCAGTAGCACAGACAATTTATATATTAAACATACACAAATAAAATTGTTGAAAAGCTAAAAATAAATCATCGCGATTCCCCTACATGAATATGCAACATCAAAACACAATACAATGAGTTATGAGTTTGAATTGACACAATGAGTGGTGATGACGTGACACAAAGAGTGGTGATGACGTGACACATTGAGTGGTGATGACGTGACACATTGAGTGGTGATGGCGTGACACAGTGAGTGGTGATGACGTGACACATTGAGTGGTGATGACGTGACACATTGAGTGGTGATGGCGTGACACATTGAGTGGTGTTGGCGTGACACATTGTGTGGTGTTGGCGTGACACATTGAGTGATGATGGCGTGACACATTAAGTAGGATTGTGACTTGATATATCGAGTTTGGCATAGAGACATAGAGATTTGTGGGAGTGACCTAATACCTTAAGTGTTGATTGTCACCTGATATAATGTACATCGAGTGACGGTTGCGACCTGCTAGACTAATGTAACACACACACACACACACACACGTGATTGGACCTTTAAAATTAATTAATTGAAACCATGATCCACACTATAACATACAGTCGTTTAGTCCTTCTATGACTAATCGGGTAAGCTAGGGGCCAAAAGGTTGGAAATCCAATTGGTCTAAACTGCTGTTAAAATATAAGGGGATATGCGTAAAACACAATAACTTATGAATTTCCAAATTAAGAGGAGTGCTGGTTGATTTCCAACTTGACAAATACTAACGTTTGTATATTATGAACCGTTTCATGCACTTCTTAAAAAGAGATAGCTGTGGCCATCCAGTTTACCTTGAGTGGTGAATGGACTAGTAATTTGAGCCAATGGTCTCTGTCGCACTCGTGTGGCTGGTCTTTATGGATACCCATCCGGTACTGCTTGAACACCTCTGCAGACTCTCTCTCACTTTTCCTGAACTCCTCATCTTGAAGTGACGGTATAATGAGGCGAACCTATAAGTACACAGATTAGGTATTGATAAAGCACTTGTTACAGCAGAGTTAATTTATAAAAATTAAAATTGTTAACCATGCTCAAACGTTTATTCATTTACAAACAACCAATGTTTTAGGATATGAACACTATCTTGATGTCTTGTATGGAAAGGATAACATAATATATACTTATGATTTTTACATCTGATTTCTAATTACCTCCAACTTGTGAGCACATTTCTCTGCTTTGTCAGGCTCACTAATGAACTCTGCAAACGTCTTCTGGAAAGAAAAAAATGCTGATATTCCATCTTCACAACGATTTAGATAAAATCAAAACAATAATGATTTACGGGGATATTAATGTTAGAAAATTTGGAATAGGCTGCAGCAGCAATGCATACAGTACAGATTCCAATATAAAGCCATTCTCTTTATTACAGCAACATTCTTACTAAAGGATCCATCTCCCTCTTCACTGTGCTTTTCCTATAAACAGTAATGCATCCTTAACGGTCCCTCTTCCACTTCACTGTGTTTTTCTTTACACAATATCTACCCTTAATGATCCCTCGCCGACTTCAATGTGTTTTTCCTATATACAGTTATGCATCCGTAAGGATCCCTCTCCCACTTCACTGTGTTTTCTTATATACAGTAATGCATCCTTAACGATCCCTCTCCTGATTCACTGTGTTTTCCTTTATACAATATCTAAACTTAATGATCCCTCTCAGACTTCACTGTGTTTTTCGTATATACAGTAATGTTACCTTAATGATCCCTCTCCGACTTCACTGTGTTTTTCCTATATACAGTTATGCATCCTTAACCATCCCTCTCCTGATTCACTGTGTTTTTCTTTACACAATATCTACCCTTAATGATCCCTCTCCGACTTCACTGTGTTTTTCCTATATACAGTTATGCATCCTTAACGATCCCTCTCCTAATTCACTGTGTTTTTCTTTACACAATATCTACCCTTAATGATCACTCCCCCATTTCACTGTGTTTTTCCTATATACAGTAATGTTACCTTAAGGATCCCTCTCCCACTTCACTGTGTTTTCCATATATACAGTAATGCATCCTTAAGGATCCCTCTCCCGATCCACTGTGTTTTTCCTATATACAGTAATCTTCCCTTAAAGATCCCTCTCCCACTGCACTGTAGTTTTTCCATTTATTCATTAATGTACCCTAGATTTTGTTTTGGTTCAGCTAGGGCTATTCCGTTGACTAGCTAGCACAGTCTGTTAGAGTGGTAGTATGATAATCTCAAGTTCAGAGTTCAAATACCGGTCAAGCCTCGATGTTTAGAGGATAGCCCTACTGTATTTTTAAATTTGCGACTGCATATCGTGATTATACTGTCGGAAATTGACGTGGAGAGGAGCCAGTAAAACGGATATTTGCGACAGTATACTCTTGATACACCCCCGCAAATTTAAAAATGCAGTGGGGTTATCCCCATTCTAATTCAAATCAGCCAATACTATCAAACAAAACGGCGATTTTAAGACATTTTTTAGTATTTTCTGAAACTGCCGTGGATTGGTGACATCAGGAATATTCAAAGAGACGCGGAATCATCTGATCTTTCGGGGTCACTCTATTGTTCGTGGTCATTGACGTCATTAACAATCGCCATCCGGGCTTCATATGCAAATGATAAATTTGCGGACGGTATATTTCATGGTTATACTGTCGCAAATTGTTTTGATTGACCAATCAAATGTCGTGTTACATCTAAAATGAGTTATACTGTCGATTATAATTTGTTTATTTCGTGGTTGTCACTTTCCATGTAAATCCCGCAAGTTATAGGTTTTCTTTCTGAAGTGGTTTATTAAAGCCAAAGTCATGCTTGAAAAATCACTGTCAAAAACGTGTACATGTACGTAGTTGTTGTAGTGTGACCGCACAACGCACCAAAAATAGCGTGCGCACACCGTGTATACATCGTTCACACACCGTCCGCACATCGTCCACACATGGTGCGCACAACTGTGCGACTTAACAATCGTTCGCCCCGTTGTGCGCTTCTCTCCCCACAACTGTGCGATTTGTTACAATTTGTAGATCAATATTACGGAATGACAAAAATACGGAAGGAACGTATGCAATAATGTACACTTTGTACAAATCTGTAATTTCTCATCACAATAATCAAGATTATGTAAAATTTTACAATGTGTACTACACAGTATTACAGCGACCGTTAGGCTGTCAATAATAGGTTTGGCTCCAAGGTAACAGAACAGGTAAATAAAAATTTGATGAGTGACCGGAGTTTTACCTGGCCTGTGGCCTGGTTTAACTGTATAACACGTACCATTACTGTGTTGTAAACGTACATGTGTCATACAAGGTTGATTAAAAACACCGAAAACACAATTTATGAATATAAGAATGTATAGACAGAAAAATGAGCTTATAGATGTAGCTAGAATATAGAAAAATACGTAGAAATCAAGTGTATATGTTTAAACACGGAACCGTATATATTGTTAAGGCATTCCTCAATTTACACCAACCACGATTGTTATCGCACAACGTTCGTCCATCGTGCGCACAGATGTGCGCAAGCAATGATCGTCCAACTTTTTATCATTCGCACATCGTGCACACCGTTTACACACCGTTCACACATCGTGCGCACACCGCACATCGTGTAACGTTGTGTGATCCCACAACTGTACATGGTTTGGCACGTGGATCCATCATCATTTTCTACTACACATTTAATTTTTCATTTCTCTTTTTCAATCTTCACACTAAGTATGTATGCAAATAAACATGGAATATTACCGTACTACAATTACTGGTCGTACTCATGGTACTTCTCTCGCGCTCGAGGCTCCCCGTCGACCCCTTTGAAGACGTAGATTCATCCTCTGCCATACTCCGTAGTTTTCGCAGTTCTCGTAATTTCTTCCTCTCTAAACGAATGTCTTTCGCCTTCCTCATAGCAGGCTTGGTGGGGTCAGCTCCTTGCCCTGAGTTAAATCAGTCATGTCATTTTGAAGGTCCATGAACACATACGATACAGTATTTTGTATTAAATATGTAGAAGAAAACAAGTCCTCGAATTCATCTTGACAGGTAACATTACGGATTAATAACGACTAGAAGTTATTCGACATTGAACCGTAAATCTAGCATTGTGTTCATATTCTGTTTTTCCCACATTGGGTACAAACTGAACTCGCTGCGTAAAATCTTAATTGCATTGGCTAATACAAAAACCTAACAATCACATGAAATAACTGTATCTATTAGTTTTTTCTGTGGTTCGACTCCCTTGTCATATAGATGTCCGTTATTTAGGAGATTTGATTTTCCTCCAATAGTAAACTGGCTATACAATGAAATATTTCTGTCCCTTCTGAACTGATCATTACGGTATATAATATAAGGATTTGATAAGAATTTATTTTGCACTCATATTACCATATATGCCGTCAAAATGAAAGTCATTGCGTATATTTACATCGAAACATCTTTAAATGCTACTCAGAGGAAACGAGTACGAGCAAGTAACTCTCTCTTGTTGAGATAATTGTTCTCACTAAAAACGTCGCCGTTCTCTGGATGCAGTAATTGTTCTCACAAAATAAAACTTACACAAATTGACCATCTAATGATATATAAAAAAGATTTCCTTGATAATATAAATACTGTTCAGAAACAAAGTCACTGATCTATAAAAAGTTTACTCTACCTGGTCTGGGATGAAGTTTTGATGCTGGATCAGGCGTAGACTCAGACCTGCTGTCTTTGATAGTGCCTCTTGTTCCGCGTACTTCCCGATCAGGTTTCCCCCTAGAGGATTTGACAGTCTCCCCTTTCCTGATACCTTGTATAAGGAACTTGTTCACCTGCTTCAGTACTTTTTTGTGTGATTTGCTCAACTTGAAGTTCAATGCCTCCATTCTGATGGTGTACTGTGGGCAGCACGTCTGGTTCATTGTTGGCTTATGAAGGTACTTTCCTTGTCTGCACATCAATGATTCAGCAATGCGATTATAATATAAATAAATTAATGCTAGTTTTATATTTGTTTCACGTGCATGGTCGTACATGTAATTAAATTGGGTTTGCTTTTGCGTTATCTTAACATATTAGGTCACATGAAGACGGTGTTCATAGATGCCGGTGCCACGCCATCGCATATAAGGACATCTCGACCGGTAACATGATTGACCCCAAACTAAACAGGGATACCTAGGGAGAAACTGCCAGAATGGCGAATGAGGTAAGAGAAAACAGAACTGATTTTAATCAAATTTAACTATAAAATGCCTCTCACACGTATTGACGTTAAAATATTAATTTTTCGTTAAACAATTAAATTCAATTGAAGATAAACTTCTTTAAATATTTGGGGCTAAACCAAGCGATTAGTTCATACGTGCTTTACCAGTAATACGCTTTATATCTAGCTAGGTTTACCATATATCGTGAGTTACGTCCCCTTAACTCCTTTCGAAAAACCGTCCCTCACCAAACCAACTTAATTTCTCACAATATTCGAGGTTTTAATTGTAAAAACATAAAAACGGAACCTCGCATATTTTCATCACTATACCATACTTTCCGATTCGTCCCGAACAAAATATACTTTTTTTATTTTTTATAAATGGAATAAAGATATACAGTATTACCCTCGACTGTTGAAAATGACCAATTCAAACGTCGTTTACGTCGTACCGTTCATGATAAAGTCATTAATAGATTTTTTTTTTTTAGAAGCGACATTCTGCTGATTTGATTGTATTTTTCTTGTGACGTCTCGCCGAATGCAGTAAAATTGTGTAAGAAGTATAAAATACTGTTGGATATGTTTCTGCTTATGATCGTGAATATGGAGATAGTACATTATCAGTTTGTGCAAACTCTCAGATAAGGAAAAATAAATATAAGGATATTTTTAATCAATTGTGACTTACAACATACACGAGCATGTAATTAAAAAATAACGGTAATTAAGTTTTTAATTAGTTACCTTCTCCACCCCCTGTCAATCAAGTCTTGATAATCTTGAACGTTTAATGAATCGGACCACATTCCTGAAATCAAAAGGCAACATTATTTTCACATCGAAAAAAATAAACACAAGACACGTACACTTTGCCTATCTGATTGTTGTGATATTTTTCAAAGCAAAGGAATGTAAAGAGTAACTTACCCGAGATTGTCTATATACGTTACAGGTAGGTTTTGCTGAATTTACTGAATAAAAAACGAAATAGGACACGTATTTTAACATGCATGCATGCGACATTAAATATCTACAATATTTCGATTTCAATAAAGTAAGTTTCCTTAAGTTTACATCTTTCATAAAAGGTTGATATATTTTAACTTCACGTTCAAGTATTTCATTGGGTGGGGCTCAAATTTCCAAGATTAGATATAGGAGTGTTTTCGTTTTCTCCCCCGTAGCAACATTTCCGTGTGCTATGATTATCGACACAAACATCTTTAATTCTGAAGTGACTTTCAGAAACTTTTGCGGCGTCTGCAGCTGGCATCACAAAGATCAAATAATATAGATATTCTTTGAAAATCTAAATTGATGTATATTTCATATGTACCTCCCCGTAATTTCTCGTTTGGAACTGTTTCTGGTCTACGTATAAAACCGTAATATTTTCGCAACCAAATCACCGGTAGCACGTTTACAACGATATCATTATCAGAAATGCCATGGCTGATTTCACATGATATTTGAAATAACAAAAAAAAAACTATTTATTTTGCAACAGTTATAAATCAGGCTATTCCAACTTATATAAATCACTCTTGTTAGCTCGGATGGGGTATTAATGCTTAAGGAAACCGGAGTACCCGGGGAAATTCAACGTGGTCGGGCAAGTTCTTACTTTTTCTTCCTGTCCTTCTGAAATCATATGTTTACAAATGTATATAACTACTGTTTGACCTGGCACTTGTATGGACCAAATGTTTATTTTGTACCAGAGCCGTATACAACCATATGTTACAACGGAAGATATATGAATCATTTCAATAAATTAGCATCCGAAGTCAAGTTTATATATACACGTACACTGTCTATACCGTTACAAGTATATAAAACATTTTAATATCCATATTCTTGATACAAAATTGAAAATAATGCACACATCTACGGCTTGTGAAAAGTTACAATACTGTATTCAACAATTGTATATAAATGTTAAAATTGTTATAAATCTAATCAATAAATGTAAATATGCGTGCAATATTTCATGTTTGTATTTGATAATAATTGAACATTGCATTGTTCGTTTACGCCATGTGCACCCTACCAAATCCGTACACTATATACTTATGCGTATATATGTATGCTAGTTGAATATACCCCTTATAAAAGGTCTGGTGAAAGTGGTTTGTAAATAACCTGGTTGGCAGTACTATACCTGAATGAGAGGCAGTTGAACGTGTATTTGAATCGAGACCTTTATACAAAGACTAAACCAACCAACCAGCCTACAAAGTCTGTATACTGTACCACAAGATCGGTTGCCATTGTTTTCACAGTAAAAACATTTCAGTGTGTCACTCGTCCCACAGTAGTCCACGATACCGGGGTCCGGACTCTCCATGACTGGATGGTTGATAGGGTAAATAAAGGACACCCTGCTCCCAGGTCGTTATCGCTATAGCGTGTATTGTATTGATTGTAGACACTCCAGGAAATATGTATTTATACACAGTCCCGCAACGACCTCATGGTTTATCGTTCCTGATATACGAAAAAACTTTACATTACTTTTTGAGGAATTTAATTAACAACCAAAACAACCAGGCACCTCTGCAGGAAAAAACATTGCATCTTCATCTTCATCTCTATGCCTTCCTACGTCAATATTGACGTTTACGGAAGTTTTGGTCTTGTGCTGTATTGCGTTGTTATGTACAGTGATGTTTTATTATATTTTTAATATTTGCTATAGGATAATTAGAGCGCATTATGATTTGTTTGCTTGCAAAGCTGTGTCATTCAAATAGATCATAAATACCATACAAAAACAGTTCAATACTTATATTTACGTTTTCTCTGCCTTTTATGTCCTTTTTTAACTTATAATTTATATTTAGAATAAGAAATGCCCGCCTTATCGACAGTCCACACATTTTCGTTCAATAGTTTGAACAGCGTATTGTCGCGTGCTAATTGGCAAACAAAGTAATACTTTTAAATTTTAACAAACACTTCAATTTTATTCCACAATTTAGTATCAATACAATTGCGTATGATATGTATATAGGGTGATTTAAGTTTATCAATAGAACTCTGAGCTGAAAGTTAGATTTGAAATTGTTTCGATTTTTCCCCGGAACATATTTCGCGCATGGACAAATACAGTGAACACCGTAAATACGACCTTGCCCTTCACGAGGGAGTAATTTTGGAAGTTAATTCGAACTTTTCTCTTTGCTCATTTGGCGAAGAATCCAGGCGTTAATGTATTTCTTGATTGTATGGGAACCTGACAACAGTCGGTAGATTCCATAACAGCGTCGTTATTTGACATGTCGTCAGAAACTGAGGAACCGTGGATGCGAGACGGGTGAAACTGATAGCGTTTGAAGTGAGGGATCTTGCGACGGAGAACAGGTTCGTTACAAATGTCTAAAATGTTTATGTGTGCTGTGACTCGTATCAGTAGGTCTATAGAATATGTGTATTTCAGACATTCGTAACGATTCCCTGTTGATCAGTGCAGTGTAACAGACGATATATCTGATAAATTGCATGAGCGTTAAAATTATTTCCATTGCCGGCATTGGTGATTTCAAACGATGTGCATTTTGTACGATATTGCAGACCTTGGTCTTGTTTTCGTTGTAATAAAAGGTTTTTTTATTTTATTTTTTATTTTGCACATTTTACAATGACATCGTCAAATCTCACAATGCCCAGCGATATTTCAGCAGCCGTCATGTTTATTTATATTGGATATTGTAGTTCCGGTCAGTTACGCTAAGAATTGTGTCTCGTGATGCGTGGTAATTAAAGTCCCATCAACGACACAGCTTTCGAAGAGGCTATATAGTGACAATGCCATGCAAATGTAAATATAAACAGGTTAAAAGCAGTAAGTGTTAGTTATGTTGTAGGTTTTGTATATGTTCGATTATGTTATATGTGGTGCATGTCCTGAATTCTGCTCGTGTTTCTGATTGGATTATTGTATGGTGTATGGAAAGAACGAGTGTCTGTATGTGTCGTTGGATGTGTAGTGTGTCTGTAACTAAGGTCGTGTCCTTGACGTGTTCTGATGTCTGCCGGGATGAGATTGTTAGTTTGTATATTACTTGTTGGTGTACAACTCTTCGGTCACGAGGCCGGCGTCTGCCACCAGACTACCGTGCCTCCTTAATCTAAGTTCTTACTTTTTGTTCCTGTTCTTCTGAAATAATATTCGTTTACAATAGACCTGTTTGTTTATTTGATAAAATACTGTTTGACTTGGCACTGGTGTGGAGCTAATGTATACTTTAAACCAGAGACGTATACAACCATATGTTACAACGGAAGATATATGAATCATTTCAATAAATTAGCATCCGAAGTCAAGTTTATATATACACGTACACTGTCTATACCGTTACAAGTATATAAAACATTTCAATATCCATATTCTTAATACAAAATTGAAAATAATGCACACATCTACGGCTTGTCAAAAGTTACAATACTGTATTTAACAATTCTATATAAATGTTGAAATTGTTATATATCTAATCAATAAATGTAAATATGCGTGCAATATTTCATGTTTGTATTTAATAATAATTGTACATTGCATTGTTCGTTTACGCCATGTGCACCCTACCAAATCCGTACACTATATACTTATGCATATATATGTGTGCTAGTTGAATATACCCCTTATAAAAGGTCTGGTGAAAGTGGTTTGTAAATAACCTGGTTGGCAGTACTGTACCTGAATTAGAGGCAGTTGAACGTGTATTTAAATAGTGACCTTTATACAAAGTCTACAGTGAGAGGAAGCCCGTATGGTGGAGTCATGTAGGCGATAAACGCGTAAACCAACCAACCAGCCTACAAAGTCTCTATACTGTACCATAAGATCGGTTGCCATTGTTTCCACAGTAAAAACATTTCAGTGTGTCACTCGTCCCACAGCAGTCCACGATACCAGGGTCCGGACTCTCCATGGCTGGCTGGTAGATATGGTAAATAAAGGACACCCTGCTCCCAGGTCGTGATCGCTATAGAGTGTATTGTATTGATTATAGACACTCCAGGATATATATATATTAATACACTCGCGCTGGTAAAGACCCGAGACACGATGCCATGGTTTATCTTTCCTGGTATACAAAAAATATCACGATACTTTCAAGGATTTTAATTAACAACCAAACAACCAGGCACTCATTGAGGAAAAACACTGCATCTATTTATAGACGCCTAATATTTACCGACGAATGACACCACAACGCTATATGTTTTTGCAAGTGGGAGTTTTAAATCCGTTCGACAATAGACTTGTACAAACCCCACATGTAAAATATAATGCAATATACTGATGAATAAAATATGTGATCAAGATGACCAAGTAGAATAGTTGAGGACGGCCGAAATTGTCTATATATTGCTATAATCATTGCAGCGATTCTATCACAACTTCCGTGAAAGTACATGATTTTATTTTGCAATTATAAAAAAGAATGTTCAAGTTATACTTCAAAGGATACTGTTCGGGGCTGTCAATGTAAACGTCTCATAGTAATCGTAAACCAATTATGTCTTTCAAGCCAAATGCTAAGTTTGATTTCCCTTCTGTCATTTTCTAGCAATAGTTAGCTTAAAATGTACTATAAGTCAGCTTCATTTACCAATAAGAGCGATTTTTGTAGTATATCCATTATTGTTTCTGCATAAAATTATAAGGAATAATATTAATGCGGTTATGTAATGTTTTTATGACTTGTTAAATTCCTTGCATAATGCTCGCCATGAAAACTGTGACAACTTGTCTTCTACATCACCTGTGTCGCTAAATCACATCTTCAAATGATAGATTTACATTGTAAAGCTGGCATGTGAAAATCAGAAGTCAACATCTAGGAAATTTTCTTCTGAATAATCAATTTATTATATAAGAAACACGACGTTGCCTGTTCTGATGATAAGAAAGTAATTTAGATGTAACTCAAGTAATGTTCACAGGGAAAAGTTAAATGAGAACGAGATCGATGAAAGGAGATAACTGACTTTTTAAGACTTTCTAAGTGCTACCAAATATAAATATAAATGATAAAGTCTCTGTTTCTCATTTAGGCCTAGAGTTTCAAGATGTGATTGAGAATATTTTCGTCTGATTGGATTCTTTTTTGTTTCCACACTTTTTAGATTATTTTTAATCTGACGTGTTTTATTTACTGCCGACTTGTCTAAGGTGAGTTCCGGATTCTTAGTTTTATGCTAATGATTCCAGTACCACTCTCAACAGCTGTAATTACGCATGTGTAGCTGTTTTTATTGCATGACTATGTCTAAAACATTTCTTAAAATCAAACCATAGCAGAACTTAATAAAATAATAAAGAAAAACTAAACAGAAAAATAGCAACAAAGTTCTGAGTGTAAAATATATCGGGGCAAGAACGAGATTCGAATCCTTGACTTCAGATTGTTTTATTATCACTCGAAGCGAATGAGCTACCTGGTAAGCGGAAGTGTACTGGCCTTACTGTACACGTGCTATAGTTACATCTAAAATATACAACAAAACCTTCATTGCAGTGGGACAGGGGCCATTTACTCTTCTGTTATATGCTTGAATTATTTCCCTTTACACGTAATACAGTCAATCAAAGTATATCGTTACAATCAAAATCGTTACGGCGTCAACAAGTCGTGTTCAAAAATAACACGCCTACTAACCGAACGGTGTGTCGCGCACTATATCTGGCTCGTCGATTGGTTGATAGAACGTTTGAGGTCGGTGTCGTCCTTGTAATCAAAAGCAGTGTACAACATTGTATCTTTTTCGGAGACTTGTTGTTTGCACGCTTTGTCAACTTACGATTACGCATACACGTATATGGAAATGTAAAATTTACATTGCATGTACATGTTTCAAGTCATGTGTCATGACTTAAATGTTTCGTTGCATGTGTACTTATCCACATTTTCGTGAACTATAATGGTATTTATGATTACAAGAGGGCAAAATGAAGAACATTACAAATGCTTGAAAGCTGCCCATACCAGCCGCTACACTGAAAGGTAATATCATACAACGGTGCAATGGTGCAACGGTGTATGGTACAAAATCCTTTGTATGGTAACTTACAGGATACTACAAATCACATTGTACATTTTAGTCAATGATGAAGAATAGGAAGAATGGGGATATTAGGTATAAGTGATATAATGCTAAGATATAAGTGATAATACACGTATTAGGTCATGTCGAAATAGGCATACTCATGATAGAGGTTAATGGTTGTAAGAACATCTCGGATTAAAAATAATGATGAAAATATAATATCACAACGTCAAATCCCACGGCCATCTGGGTGGTTCATATATATCTCACCGCCAGCCTCCACACGATCTCTAG